TGTGTGTGCCCAGGAACGTGTGTGCACAGTGGGAGGGAACGTGTGTGTGCCTGGGAACGCGTGCGCCCAGGAACGTGTGTGCCCAGGAACGTGTGTGAAGGTGTTTGAACACGCCCACCCATTCCTTCCCCACCCCACGACCTCGAAGCTCCAGATGGTGACACTTCTCTTGCGGAAGCCCAGGCTTCTGACCCTGGAGGGACCCGCCCACCTCTCTGCACACTGCCCACAACACACTGGTTTTCTCTTCTCGTGTGTCCCGTGCCCTCGCCCACAAGGTCCTGCGCGTGGTCCTCGTTATTACGGAGCTCTCTTCCTCGGACTACTGGCCAACCGCACTTGATGACCGCCACTTTATCTTCTCGGGAAATCTGGTCCATGGTGGCCACTCTAAGTTTCACGGGAAGGGCTAGGAGCAGGACTTGGGGAGGCTGTTCCTAACCTTCGTTGTGATGACCCCCAGCGTGGCCCAGAAACACCCAAGGACTCACAGAATACGCACCCTGTGTCTAAACACTGCACTGACTATATGGAATCAGCCTGAGGTGGGCTGGTGGGTCGGCGCGCTAAGGCTGCTGGGAACCACAGGACAGGCTGGTCGCTCCCATGATAAGGCTACTGGGCTTCCTGGCCCTGCCTGCTCTGCACACAGTCTCCACCCTAGGGAGAAGAAGGCAACTGTCACCTTCCCCTCAGCTTGCTGATACCCTATAAGCCTGTGAGAAACAGGGTTTTCTCTGAACCTTGTTCCCAGAATTCCTTGCTGCACCCTCCCTCACCCGAGAGGAGTCAGCTGGGCCCTGAGGCAGGTACTGGCAGGGTGGCTGCTGAGAGTGCAGAAACAGAGTGCTGGCAGCAGTCACACCTGAATCTGACAGGCTTTCCTCAGCTGGGTCACAGGGTTCTCTGAGTCACAGCGGATGTGGCTTTCTAAGGGCAGGGAGGCCAACGCCTTCACCTTGCACATCCCTTCCTTTCTCAGCTCTGACTCTGAGCAAACACAGCAAACAGAGGGTCAGCCGCTATCTTCTTATTTCTAAGAAAATGTCTAATTCCCAATGAAGTCTATCCCTTTCTTCCTTCGAATTCTGCATCATTCCAAGCCCCCCTTGGCATTGGGTAGAGAGGGATGCACAGCACCCACTACCTTCCTTCCTCCTCAGGAGACGGCAGGGATGAGCACCTGGCAGCGAGGACAATGGCGGTGGTCTGTGAGCAGCCCTCGTCACTCACCTCCAGGACTTTTCCTGTGATAAACTGCTGACAGGCCTCACACTTGACTCCGAAGAGACCCTGGTAGTCCTTCTCACAGTATGGGGAGCCATCCCTGAAAGACAAAGCTGCACTCAGGGCTTTGGAAAACACCAGAGCCACCTTTCTGAGGCCCTTCCCACAGACCAAGAATATAACTCATCTTTACAGACCACTCAGAGCCACTGGCTGCCAGAGAGCTAGTGAAGGTTCCCCAGGCCGGACAGAGAGAAAACCCAAAGAATCTCCACATGGTTACCAGGGCCGCTTCCTCAGCTGTCCCAGAACTACGGAGTAGGAAGGCAGCATTGCTCCTCTCTTGTATTGTTCCTCTCCCCGCAGCCCAAACAGCCCTCGGATGCCCAGGGTCCACCTATGCCTAAGAGGCCCAGGGCTCCTGACCTCCCTTCCCACATCATTGCCTCAGATTCACAGAACACTGGGGCCACCCAACAGCCTCAAACGCCATCTTAGCTCAGGTCTGTCTGGCTCTGAGGGTCTAGAACATGCAGCAGACATTTACCTCAGAGCACAGCGAAGTTTCCTTTTCCTGAGTGTTCCATGCAGAGAAGCTGGAAAGCGAGTCTGAGGGGCGGCTGCTTATTCCCTATGGCCTTCAGCGTCATTCAAAGGCCAGACACTTGTTTGTCTTTTTGGCTGCCATCACCATCACCTGCAGAGCTCTTTAGTCTCTGACAGGAGTGGTTTCAGTTTGACCCCAGACTTACTTTGAAACTATATTTCTGGGCTGTGGGAGCTAAGCCTCCTTTTCAATTATTTCGTTGATTTATTTATTAAAACAAACCAAAAAAAAACCTGTGTTTCAATGAACGATTTAATAGGAGTGGGTAGGTCTTGGGTTTCCTGTTTCTGTCTTTGACCTTTGACACAGGGTCATCTGCAGCCAGGCTGGCCTCCAGCTCTCTAAGAAGCCAAGGCTATCCGACCACTGGGATTACAGGCAGCTACTGCTCCACCCCGCTTCCTACAGGGTTAGCTGAAGCCCAGGGCGCTGTGCACGGCAGGCAAGCACTACCAATGGAAATACATCTCCAGTCCTTTCTGGGTGCAGTCCAGGCTGTGCTCTCTAGGCTCTAAGCTCTCTCACCAAGCTATACCACTGGTTGGGGAAATTTTCCAAAGTCACAAAAAGATGTAGGGTAGCAGATTCTTCCTCATGACTAGAGCATGTTAAAAAAATAAAAACCCCACCAAAGTCCCCAGATTCATATAACTCTAGCCAGCCCCCACCAACACTCTCTGACCCCAACATGAGCACTGTTCTGTGGCCCTGGTCTTGCCAGGCTCAGAGCCTAGATCACATGTGTTTTAGAGGAATGTCGAAAGCCCCGGAAAAGAGAACTTTGCTAGCTTCACATACAAAACAAAAATAGCAAAGGAGAAACTAGGTGTTTAACTACAAAGCAGGGTGTACCACCACGCCAGCTTTGGTAATCACTGGGCCACGTCAGTAGGCCGCTAAGCCCACGGCACCCACAGCATGGCAAGGCAGAACAGTGACTTATCGCAACAAACCGTAGAGCAAACAGTTCATCCTGATGCAAAACGGGAGTGCACTGGGGCATACTTGAGGGAGGAGAGACCCCTGGAGGCCGGGGCGGTGCCCGACCCCTCTGGCCCAGACTTACTTGCTGATGTATTCGCCGGTGAGGACCTTCCCACAGGACTTGCACTTGAAGCAGCCCAAATGCCACTGCTTGTCCAGAGCCAGCAAGGCCTGCCCGTTCTTAATGTCCCTTCCACAGCCAGCGCAGTCTGGAAGAAAGCAGCAGCTCACAGTTACTGCCATTCCCCTTGCAAAGCCCACGGAGGGACAGTGCCCCGACCCGCGGCCAGCCAGCTCTGCCAGTCACTGCGTGCCTAAGCACCGCTTCATTTCCCTGTATAAAACTGTCTCCAGTAAATCCTGCAGGGTCTGTCCTCACGTGGCCAGGCGGCTGCTCAAACCTCAGCGGAGCTCACCACACGAGCGCCCTTAACCTCTGCCTCTCAGGAGCCAGGTACCCTTTGGGGTCCAGTTGGCCTACGGACAAGCGTCTCTGCTAGGACATGAAGAAAGTGTTCCCGGGCTCTTCTTTAACTGAGGGTGAGTGTGAATCCACTAAGCACATGCTGGGACCCTGCTCTTCTGTCTGCCTGTGGCTCCCTGGGCACTGCCTGTCAATCTCAGCTTTGTGATGGAATTTTACTTCCTTACCTAAGCCTTTCCACTGCTGGTTCACTGACTTAACTCCTTAGCTTTCATCTGTCCTTTGCACATTCCTGCAAGGCTCACGAGCTGGTTACTTCTCTCACAGTGGTAACAAAAACCCTGGCAGTGCAGCTTGAGGAAGCAGGGCTTCATCTTAGGGCACAGAGGCAGGGTGGGCATGGCAGCTGGCCACACCGCTGGGCGGCTAGGGAGCCGAGGGTGATGAGCAGCGCCAGCTCAGCTCACTGCCTCCTTTTACGGTGCTCAGGATCGCAGCGCAAAGAGGGCAGATCTTCCCACCTCGTCAGGCCAAGCTAGACAATTCCTCAGTCTCTTTGGCGGTGCATGTTTCTGGGCTAACAGAAGCATCTTCCACCTCCCTCGTACCATGGCCTGTGAAACCTTATGTGCAGGGTCTGCACAGCATCATCACAGCAGGAAGTGGAAGATGCTCCTGTTAGCCCAGAAACATGCACCGGGGAAGAGGTATGTGAAATATAACACCAACATACATTCAAAATCCGTGTGTCTGGGGGAAGGAGAGCAGGCGCCACCAGCTGGTGGGTGGACACTGTGTCCAGGAGCAGCGCCCTCTTCTGACCACCCCTGTAACCATCTCCTCTAAACCAGCTTCCCCTTTCCTCCCAGACCCCACCACCTGCCTCCCTGGAGTGACTCCGAGCACACTCCCTGAATCCACACGAGATGGCTCTGGCTCCGGCAGCTTAACTTATCCTGTTTCTCTGGCCACAGGTGTTTCTGGGCATCTTGGCCAGTATGTGTTAACTTGACTTTAGACCCAACAATCCATGTTCAAAATTTTACTATACAAGTATATTTGCAACTCTCCTTGTCGTGTGTGTGTGTGTGTGTGTGTGTGTGTGTGTGTGTTCTAATGAAATGTACGTTAAAGAAAACACTGGTGCAGAGAGGGACGTCTGTGTTCCACTCCCAGAATAGAACAGAATGATTCTGGAGAAAAACACAAGAAATTCTTAAGAAACTGCCCCCTGTGGAGGAAGGCTTTATTTGTCTCCTCGTGTGATCTGAGCTGTTGGATTTTCTTAACCACTAGAATGTGAAAAATTGAAAATGTGTACCCATAAGGTTAAAAATCTAAGTTCTGAAGATTAGGATTTCCTTTTTAAAAGATTTACTTCTCTGTGTGCACCTCGCTGCGTGTGTGTGTGCTACTTGTGTGCGAGGACATGTAGTGTCAGAGCAGGGTCCCTGGGTCCTGAGCTACAGGCTGTAGAATGTTGCCTGATACGAGCGCTGGGAACCAAATTTGGGTCCTTTGTAAGAGCATTAAGTGCTTTTGACCACTGAACCATCTCTCCAGCCACTGAATAAAAATTTGCTAAAGTACAGGCCATTCTAAATTGCATATAAGATGGTCCTAAAGTATTAAGAAGTGTTTTACCAAATGCCCAATATGTCATAAGACTCTTACCCTTAAATCTTATATCTGATAATATTCTAGGAAGATAAGCCACAGTATTTATTTTAAAACACAGTCTTCAAATGATAGGAGCACAGTACTGAGGCTGAGACAAATGAGCAGTTTTAAAAAGCACTAGGGGCTGGGGAGACGGCTTGGTGCCTGCCATTAGTTCAGAACCGCCCACACAGAAGCCCAGGGTGGGTGGTGTCTGTCTATAACCCTAGCGAGGAGAGAGAGAGAAAGAACATACAGATCCCAGGAACTTGCTGGCCAGCTAGTCCAGCCCACTGCTGAGCTCCTGGCTCAGTTAGAGATCCGGTGTCAAAAAATATATTTGAGAGCTATAGTGAAATCACCTAGCATCGACCTCTAGTGTACACACACACAAACCACTCATTATAGACCCCCATCTTAAAAAGGAATATACGGTTTTAGGTTCACAGGAAACTGAGAGAGTTCAGAAGAGATTTCTCACTTCCCCCCACATGCTCAGCTGCTACCACTGACCCCAGACACCAGAGCGGTACCCTTGCTCTTGCTGACAAACAGATCATTACCACCCGGCATCCACGGGTAAGCTGTTTGGAAGGTTTAAAATGGCACCACGATTATAGCATCACACTGAAGAGCAGAATAACTTCAACAGTCTGAGAACTCTGAGCCCTGCCTATTCACCTCTCTGTTCCCTAAGTCCTGGAAGCCTCTGGTCATTTTCTACTGTCATCATAGTTATGTCCTTTCCACAGTAAAATGGGAACTTTAATTCAAGTTGAGCTAAAATTTCCTTTTGTTTCTAATAATTGCCACTAGGTGGCAGCAATGGTTTGAAGAAGAACAATACTTCTTTTAAATAAAATAACTCAAAGATGGTTCTTTGGTTCTCCAGGTGGACATGGTTGACTTTGAGGGGCTGGCAGGGCTCAAAGTCTGTTTTACTGCAGGAAGCATGTCTGAGGAGAGGGGAACTGGGGTAGGCTCAGGCTGTGGAAGACTGGGATCCTGACCACCTCAGAACCCTCATGTCCTCCTCGAGAACACTGGTAACAGCTTCTTGCTAGGTTGCATTTCAAGGTTCTCTGCGCAGAACAAGGCCTGGCACAGGTGAAGCACTCATTGGCCTCCTTCCTTGGTTAGGGGCCAGGGCTAAGACTGACCCCTGGGTCTGTTTTCTTTTCTTTTCTCTCTCTCTCTCTCTCTCTCTTCAAATTGTTTGTGTACACTGGTGTTTTGCCTGCATGTGTGAGGGAGTTAGAGCCCCTGGCACAGGCATTACAGGCAGTTGTGAGTTGTGAGGTGCTGGGAGGTGCAGTCATATCACCTCACACATCGGCCTTGAGTAGTCTGTGCTTTCCATAGCAGCAACCCACTGTTGCCTGGATCTGAGCCTGATGTCAGGCGGTGGAAGTGGACAGGGGCATCGGTGGGTCTGTGCTGGACCACTCCCTTCTTCCTGCCCCGCCCAAGGATGAGCTTCAGTGAAGAACAGCATGTCCTACTCTCCAGCTTTGTGGTTCTTCAGTGGTTGGGAAAATTGTTTCCACATCACTGAAGCAACTGCTGGTAAATATAGAAAGTTGGGGCTGGGATGACTGTCAAGGTCAGAGATAGGTGAACGCCATGTGGCATCAAGGAAGGGAGGCCCACTGACCACTCACCAAAGGGAAACCACGACCAGACAGGAGACGGGGAAACAAAGCCCCAAAGCCCAGCCCTGGACGAGTTCGTGCATCAGGACTCTTGACAAAAGGCAGGGCAGGAGGGGCCTGGCTGTCCACAGACACTGCAAGTGGACACCGAGTCCACACCTGGCTCCGTTTTTGTCTCATTTTCTTCAAAGGCAACAGAACCCCTCAGCAGGAGGGATCCTGCCTGTTTGCCTTGGTTTTTCTGGCAAAGGATCACAAACACCTGGGCTTCAGGAGGATTTAAGCTGAGGAAAGAGACATATGGCTCAGGGAAATTCTGAGCCTGTTGAGATGTTTCTCTGCAAAGGCTGAGCACATGAGGCCATAAAGAGAGAACTGCAGGAAGCCAAGTGACCACGCCTGCCCACCATCCCAGACCTGCTGCCCTCTTGTCCACCTACAGTCCCCCAGGAAGGTGGCCTCCACCCAGAGCCATCTCAGGCGACTGGGTCCCCTTCCTGGAGTGCTAGAATTTTTTTTCTGAAATGGATCACTGTTGAACACAACAGTGGTAAGCTTGACAGCTTGCAAGGATGGGTTCCAAAAGCATCCTTGTAGGGCTTTTTAATGATGGAAAATCCAGTCCCGTTGCCTACTTATTTCCAAATCAGGAACCTGCAAGCGAGATCCGGGAGTGAGCTCTACTTCCCTGACAACTAGACTTTGTCCTAATCCTAGTGAGGCAACTTTGGCTTTTTTTCTCCACTCAGGACAGTACTGACTGCAGGTTTGTTATATGTTGTCTTCATTATATTAAATTATCATATTAAATATATTAAAGTATATTTCCTCCAACCCTACTCTAGCTAGGATGTTTATCATTAAGGATGTTGGATTTTGTCAAAATCCTTTTCTGCATCTATTGAGATGACCACATGAGTTTTGTATTCAAGTCCACTAATATGATTTATTAAAGTTTTCTAACTTTTCCCAAGCTATGGTCCAGGAAACATAAACTTTCCTGGGAATCCTTTTCTAGAATAAGAATAATAAAAATAAATAGTATTTTTCTATAACAAGGTTATCAAGTAAACTTATGGCTAGAGCAGATCTGCCTGCAGAAAATTGAGAGACGGAGAACCAGAGTCCAGCCTCTGAAGGAGAAGAGAAAGAAGCCAAGTCCGACTAACCATCCATTGTGTCTGTCAGTGATCCTTGCTTCCCTTCTTGTATAATCCAGAGGAATATTTTTATCAGCTATTTTGTAAATGCGAGTTTTTTAGTAGCTCTAGAAACATTTTTAAGAGGTGGGGGAGTCCCATCTCATCCCATTTTTTAAGTGTAAATGATTTTTTTAAGAGGTTAAATAATTTGCTGGTTGTTTATTTTTTGTACAACCAGAAAATAGCAGGATACTGAATCAGGAGAGGCTGTGACTGTCTCAGGGGTCACCATAACATTCCGTAGAGGGACTAGTTTTATATCCTACAACACA